GTAACATGGTAACCAATAATTTATTGTATTTCCATGGTAACTTTCTATAAGATTGAATAGATGTCGCTACAAACAAGAATACAGATATAGAATTAGTTCCACCGTTTCACCGCTACGCGACGCTACTATTCCATGTTCATGAATCGAACTTAATTTTCATTTGAGGAAAAAACTAATTAAACCAATTAATTTATACACTTTTATGATCGAATCTTCCAAATCGAACCTTCAACTTTCCTCCGATATTCCGTTTGATCTATAAAATGCATAAATAAAGATTTACAAATTCTCAATAAATCGAAGCATTCGCTTCGATAAAATTTAATTTTTTTTTACAAACTTTTACGTACCAAATTTAAATCAATATTGTTCGTAAACATAGTTAAGAATATGTACAATAAACTTCACGCAATTTCAAATACAAATCTTTATATAATCAATTAATTATTACATAGATTAGACTTGATCAATGGTAGAATCGATGGGACGAACTTATGCTCGATCTACGTTATATTGAATTAATTTACAAATCTTTTTACGTAAAATAGTTCAATTTAAAATGCGATATAATAACTTTAAGTACTCATTAATCTTATAATAAACTTGCGTGAGTAAAATCGCAAATTGCAAACAATATCCTTAGTAATTAATACCTGTAAAGTATGTACCTGTATTGTATGTATTCTATCCTTAATTAATGCTTGTTTACTGAAGATAGTTTGATCAGTTTACCGTCTGGAAGACTCGATATCGTTCGCATACTTCTCCATCGATTGCAAGTACATTAAAAACGAATCATCCTTGGTACCAAGGGAAACGAACAACCAGGCAAAGATTGCAAGTAAATCTTTAGACATCGATATCTTCTGCCAACTATTTAAGTCGTCCAGAAAAGATTGAACGTTGGTTACCTGAAACAAAATTTATCCAACATGAAAAGTCATTTCGTTTCGTATCCAAACAATGTTCTCTTCTGATTACATTTTGCCACGTGGAGTCATTAGAATTGTAATAGTGTATTAAAGTTAATTGATTGTCGGTCCCTGCGTTGACTTGATGAAGACAAAAAACGATGAGGTACAAAGGAACTGCTATTACTGCTTTGTTGTAATCGAAGTAAAGTTCACGCAGATGTTCCACGTCGAGTCGTGCTAAATCAAATCTAACGATTATAAGAAATTTTAGAATTTAGGAAATAATATATCTTGTTAATATAAATTAAACGTACCTGTCGAACGTTGTAACAATGCACATGACAATGAGAAATGAAAAGATGTTTGTATAAATTTCGCAAAATGCCGAGTATTTCATAATAAATTCCATAGAATTATTGAAAAATACATGTAACTGGAAAGAAGACTTAAATAAAGGACAAAGCATGACAACAGAAGATTCTTTTCTAAAGTGAAATTGAAATATACCATTATGAAATGCATAAGCGCCAGTCCTCCTAAAAGACCTTGGTATAAAAAGCCTGTATTTTTCCAAAATTGTTGGAGCATAATGGCCATCTTTATAGGCAGAGAATTTTGACCATCGCCAAGGTCAACGCTACCTTCTGCTTCAGTTTTTCTATCACTGGACGAATTTTTCGTTTGATTGATTTTCATTGCACTGAAACCACCCCTATGCTGTACATAAACTTTATCCGTGGTTAATACAGGAAGTGGCGCCTCGTGTTCGTACTTAGTACGCGCATTTTCTTGCGATTTTCTTAATATTTCCGTAATAGGCAATTCATTGTCATCTGTAAAACAAATTAAAATTTTCCGTGTAATTTATTACTTCTACGTCTTTAATAATTTTATAAATCTTTCGAAATTGACTTTGAAAATTTTTCAAAGGATTTTTGAAAAAAAAAAAAAAAA